TGAGAGGATTCACCAGAGACAGAGTATAGGAAGCAGAACAGGCAGATCGATGAAGTACACTGCTGAGGGGAGCAGCGGGAGAGTCAGGAGAGGTCTGCCACACCATGTGGTCACCTCCTGGGGAGGCGGGAATTGAACTCATGTGGAAGCGGCTTTAGCTTCTCAGTGCTGTGCTTTAACCCACTGCGCCACCAAGGAGGGCCAGATTTTTTTTTTTTTTAAGCATCAGATGAAGTATTGAACATAATAATTCCACACATTCCTACAAAATTTTCACCTGGACCACTTAACTGACCACAAACGTATCATGTTATTGTGCCTTTGTCTAATTTTCTGGCAGATTTAATTTATCTTTATAGAACACTTATCTTTATATATTGTTGGAATTATACCACTTTTTCTCAAGAAAAGCAACCTTGGAGTTTCTCATGCTCTGTTATATTTCATCTTGCTAGATTTGGTCTTTTATCCCAATGTGTTAAGAAAAAGTGGACATCTATTCTCACTTGGTATTCACTAACATTACTAGTTTTGTGGCATGCTCTCTCCCTATTCATCCACCCATCAACAGTAAAAATACATTATTACAGACAGGAATCTAGAGATAATCTTAAAATCCATAGGAAAAAATACCATGCAAGGGGGATGGAAGAGTATACAATGTCTGCAACATTTCAATGTTTGGAAATGATGCTATTAATGAAAAAGTGAAATAAAGTTAGATTTCCCTTTACTCATGTGAGTATGTTAACAGCAGTGACCACTCTTTGTACTTATAAGCTTTCACATCATTTTTCTATATTCCGAGTCAGCTGAAACAGGAGGTGGAGGAAGTATTTATCTCTCTGGATGATGTCATGGATGTTGAGTGCATCCCACTGAAAACATATTTCCCGAAAGGACTTGATGAAATAATGCAATCATAGACTGCTTCTCTGGGATTAGCACTGCAGGCATACAAACTTTAGCATTAGCATGTCAATACATTCTCAGCAACCACATACCTGCTTATCAATATATATGTCCTCTTGTTGTTTTAGTGAAAGACTAAGGACAGACTCTTAGGAAAAAAATCAAAGGATGAAGAAAAGAGTAGACAAGAGGAAAAGTAGGAGTGTTAGTTAGTATTATTTGCTAGCTTTTGGTTTTCTTTTATCCTCACTCCATCCCTACAGACTCATGCCATGCCAGACTTGCAGGGCTCATCTAACTTGAGACAGTAATTTATCAAGCAACAGACCTTTCTGTTCTCCACATCAGTTAGGTGTCGATGATAGCTGAATATCTACAGTGTGTCTCTTCTTACCAGGACACATGTACATAGTTTTGCAAGATTACATTCCCTTTTCTCCATCATCTCCTACCCTCTTCCTGTGTATCCCATTTTTTCCCACTTTCTTCCAATCTGCTTAGATTCCTACCAGGTGTGATGCTTAATTTTACATGTCAACCTGAAAGACTCATTGGGCGCTTAGATATCTGGTCAAATTTTCTGGATGTGTGTGTGGGTGTAGTGGATGAGAGTAACATATGAGTAAAACAAACTGCCCTGCCTCATATAGATGGATGTAATCCAATTGATTGAAACCCAAATTCAACAAAAAGACTACCCTCCTATGAGGAAAAGGAAACTCCTCTCCTCTGGTTGCAGCTGAGCTGGGACATTATTTCTTTCTTGCTTTCAAACTGATTTTCAAAGGAAAATATCCTCTGCTTTTCCTGGGTATTAATGCAACTGGTCTTGAAGTGGACATACACCATTAGCCCACCTGGCCATTAGGTCTTAGATTCTTAGAGGAACTACCTCATTGCTCTCCTGGGTATCTAACTTATTGACTACAGATCTCAAGTCATGATGTCCACAGGCAGAATGTCCTCAATTCACTTAACTACTGACCATTTCTAGCACTGCTCTTTCTGCTGTGTCTATTCAGATCTCTTTCCTTAACTCAAGTGTCCAAATTCTACCACCAATTCACGATGATAAAGTAAAAGTACAGCTTGTGATTAGATACCAGAACTCACCTAAAACTCCCCTTGTCTACTATTCCATTTCTCTTGCAATTAAAATAACCTGCATGGCAATGAGAGACACTTTAAAGTGAGGTTGACAACAGTGAATGGTGTTTCGATATTTCATAGTGCTAAAGATAGAAATACTAGGTAATTAATAGTCTTCTACCTTTAAGGAACTTACTGTAAGTCTCAGAATGATGCTTTATGGGGGATACCAAATTAAAAATAATTGAAAAACAGAGCTATAAACCTATCTCTTTAATGATGAGGAGTCTGACAGGCCCATAGGCATTAAACAACTGAAGCAGCTGACTTGGGGAAAGAGGTTTAGGTGAAGCCACTGTTAGTGTCCTGATGTACTTACCTGCTTCTCTGAAGGAGGTGACTAGAACTGACATGAGGTGAGGACAGTTGTCCCAGTGTGAGGAAGTGACCCTTGCCTTTATGGAGAGTAAATGACCCCTTGCCTTTATGGAGAGTAAGCTCCCCAAGAGGGGAAGGTTAAAGAGAAAGGCTTTCTATTGCTGCTACTATTAACATTCGCATGCATATCCTAGTTTCCAAAAATTGCCTTAAGAATGTCCTTGACATCTGTGCAGCAAAAGAGACATTACAAAAGACAAACAGACATCCTACTGATTGGGAAAAATTTTTCTCACACAAAACTAGCAATAAAGGGTTGATCACAAAGATATGTTGTGTTTGATGAAACAGAACAAAAATAAACAATCCCATCAAAAAATGGGCAGAAGAGCTAAAAAGACACTTCTCCAAAGAGGAAATGTAGTTGGCCAACAAGTATATGAAAAACTGTTCAACATCACTTGTGATAAGGGAGATGCAAATTAAACCACAATGAGATAACACCACACCCCAGTGACAATGGCACATCTTCAAACAACTAGCAACAACAAGTGTTGGCGAGGATGTGGAGAAAAAGGAACTCTCCTGCATTGCTGGTGGGAATGCAAACTAGTACAACCACTATGGAAAAATGTTTGGAGGTTTCTCAAACTGCTAAACATGGAGCTTTCCTACGACCCAGCAATCCCACTCCTAGGTATCTACCCAAAAGACACAAAAACACTGATTGAAAAAGATACCGCACCCCCATGTTTATTGCTGCATTATTCACAATTGGAAAGACATGGAAATAGCCCAAATGCCCAAAAGTGGATGATTGGATTAAAAAGGTGTGGTACATATACACAGTGGAATATTACTCAGCAACCAAAAAACAAAACCACATGCCTTTTGCAGCAATATGGATGGAGCTAGAAAAGATCATGCTTAGTGAGATAAGCCACAAAGAATAGGAAAAATGCCAGATGGTTTCACTCATTGCAGGAATATAAAAGACCTGGCGAGAAAATTATAATAATAACGAACAATTATATACCAGAGACATTTTATGGGAGTGGAGTGGGGAATGGGATCCAAAACAGTAGAGAAGGGAAATGCACTGGACTATGGTGATATCACAGGGTGATTTGGTGTTGGGAAGCCCACGGGGATTACAACTGAGATGGAAAAATGCACAAAATGATGTAAAATAAACTATATATATATATATATATATATATATATACATATATATAGTACATATATACACACATATACATAAACTATTATATACATGCATGTATATACACACATATAAACTATTATATATGTGTATGTATATATATGTACACACACACACATAGAATGTCCTTGACATCTTCTAAATGTCAGTGAGTTTGAGTTATTATATCAATTAGACAACCTCAAATTTAGGTACATAAAAACACCATCGAGGCACACTGAAGACTGTAGTTCAACTTCACAATTGTTTAGTTTTATAAGAAATATTTTCTTGAGAAATATCATAAAGCATCCAAGTTTGTATCCAGTCAGTGACACCCAAGCACAGACCTTTCCATTTTCTTTGCTTTTGAAAGCTGCACCATTTGAAGGATGTTTTCTGATTAATAGGACTCAGACAAAGCATGTTGACTGCTTATATCTTACCTTTGCAGTCCAATGTCCAAATTTTCATTTTTACACAATGTGGATTTTATATAATTTTTTCAGGAATTAAAAACACTGCAGCATACATAAATTATCCAATAATTAATTGTAAATACACTTGGAGCTTTACCATACACAACCTAATTATGGTTAAATAAATCTTAAATCTTAAATCTTAAATCTTCTTCTCTGAGTATGCAAATTTACTACATTAAAGTAGGTGCACATAACATATGATGCATAATTTCATAATTTTTTGGGCAGCAAATAAGAGAATATACTTCTCTAAGACCTCAGAAATGGAATCTTTATGGGAGAAAATTCAGAAAGCTGAAGCCTAATGAAAACAGATTTCTACCTGCTAGACTTTTATCTATTTATTTGTGATTTTTTTATTAATTATTTTTTCCTTACATCTTTAGACATGCATAGACAATAAAACTGTATAACTCTGAAAGATGACAGAACAGTGTTAAGGAAAAGGGACCAAATTTTCTATTTTTTAATTCCAAGTGAAAACAGACTTTAGATGATCTTTATAGAAAGGTAAGATACAGTTGTGCATTTTCAATGCAATTATGTGTTGTGAGTATTTTGAGACTGAGTTTGCCTACTGATACCTTGAGCCAAAAGCAGACTCAACTTAAGGACAAAACATGCACCTCTGTTGATACTGTGAATGCTAATTTTTTTGGATCAACACTGCTTATTAATATGTCTTTACTAAATGACTAGGAGAGATGCCAACACTGAGATGTTAAATTGAATTTAACTGTTTTATCCAATACATGCTCAACAATTCTGTGTTTTCCTTGATTAAAGATCATGAGGAAATTTTATGACTTGATGTCCAGTGTAATTTCTCTCTTGTAAGACTTGTATTCAGCCACCTTTCCTATCAAAGCACTGACAATAGAACACATGAAAATAGATTTGAAACTTCTGACTTAAAAATGCATAAACAGAATACCTACTGGATTTAGAAGGATTGTGAGGAAAAGTTCACCTCCTCTGATACTTTTATCCAATTCTTGGGGTCCACCAGGATACTCTTTATAGAAAATAGTGTGGGTGAACAATCCACAAGTCTGTCGAGGGAGAACCTGAGGAAGAGACAGGAAACTAACTTAATATTGAATGTAACCACATTCCCATTAATGATTGCTTCTGAGTTTCTTGGTTGCTGGGGTTTCTTGGTTGTGGAGTCTGATCTTATTGTTTGTTTGTATTTTAGATTTTCTTTATTTATATATACAGAACTGGGGCACAGGCCAGAGGGGCAGGGGTGGTGAGAGGATTCACCAGAGACAGAGTGGGGAGCAGAACAGGTAGATCGACGAAGTACACTGCTGAGGGGAGCAACGGTGGGTTAGGAGAGGTCAGCCGCGCCTGTGGGTCACCTCCAGGGCAGGGGTTGAATTTGCACTGAAGTGGCCACAGCTTGGCTTAGCTTCACCGTGTAGCACTCCAACCCACTGTGCCAAGGAGGGCCAAGAGTCCTATCTTATTGTAGTCATGCACCGGTGTTGCTATAATTATGTTGATGTACAGGGAGTCATCCATTCAAAAGTATAGCACCTACAGGCTAAGGCATTTTCACTCTGCTCTGCAAATCTCACCCAATGGCTGACTTGAGTGAAAGGATTGATGAGTAAATAAATAAATAAGTGAAAAGCCTTTCCTAAGGTTAATTTAATTCAAAAATAGAGATTCTCCAGGTTACACTTCTCATGATATTAGACCATTACAACCCTTCCTTCTGAAATACAGTCTTGCATGATACTCTGTTTCTGAGATTCAAAACAATCAGCTTTCATCACTCCCTTTGTTTTGTTTTTACTATACTCTGAATTTAAAATTTAATCACAGTAGTAGTCAAATCATCTAATGATTGCTGCTGGCACATTGTGCAGTTAATTCTGTTATAAATCTGAATGTTCAACAGAGAAAGCAAATAAGTAATTTTATTCCCTAAAACTTATTTTGAATAACAAATTACTTAAAATCTAATGGAAAAGTACATCCAATTGCACTGCAAAGCTATAATTTTATTTATTCTTTTCTTAATTTTTAAAATAGCTTGTATTAGATTCAAGGTAAATAAATGCATGTAATATTGGCTGAAAGGAGTGTTTTTATTTCACAATGTGTTGAATAGTCATGTAACCCAATAGAGGGAAAACTCTCACTCTGATTAGAAATTATATGCGAACCATTCTTTGTATGCTCCTGAATTTCTAGGGATGCCAATGCCACTATTTACATTATCAATGGCTCCATTTAAATCTGAGGCTTCTTTGTGTGTTCCAGGGCCAATATATAATAATAAAATAATTACAGTTTTATAGTTAATGAACAGTGGATACTAACTCTGGATACATAGTGCACTAGTGTTTTTTCTTTGGCTTTCAATAGTCATGGACAGATAAATAGGTCAGTAGATAGATGACAGGTAGACAGGTGATTGATAGGTAAGTCTGATGGCAAACTGAACAACGGACTGAGGGAATAGAAATATTTAAAGGAGAGAGAACAGTTGTAAACCCTTGCCCTGGTGTAGGCAACTAATGATGAGAATATAATCTAAGGTACTGGAAGCAGGAATGGTCATTTTGAGATGGGCTATTTATATCAAAGTGAGCGACATCACTTTTACATTTCACTGAATTATTATAAATTATCATTTAAAATTGATTTGCTTTTACTCTCATTTATATCAATTGATTAATCACTCCTACTTTGATTTAATTTTTTTTTACTTAATACACATTTGTGCTATGCAAGGAAATAAAGACAAATAAGAATAGCAGTGTAAGATGCTCTTGAGTATCTATCTGAAAGTTAAAATGAGTGGGTAAATTTAGCTCTTATATGGTACTGTTTGAGTCTTTTGAAAATACAGTGATTTTAGAGGTATTTTATTGACCTGTAGATACAGCCTTTGTCTCCAAACTCTCAATGAAACCATCCAAACACATATAGAGGTACTCTCCACACGTATAGTGTACCATCTATTCAGAAACTGCATGGATGGTCTCTACGTTACTCATGTACAAAACCTGGAGTCTTTATTTTTAATGGACTTGCCAACCCAACCCCACTGCTTATGAAGTTAGCCCATTTTTAAACAAGGTGTTGACATGCAACCAGTAACCTCACATGGGTTCAGAATTCATGATCACTGGAACGCAGCCAAGCTTAACCCTGTCTTTACACACAGACATAAAAAGATTTCAATACCCATCACAGTCTCTGCTCACCATGATGTTATTGTGAATGAAGCCCTTTCGGTATCGTGCAGGTTTCAAATGTGGGTACTCTTCAGTGCTGGTGACCTGAATACCCCAGACTTTCCTCCACGCTGCATACAACTGAATATGAACCGGGTAGACACCTGAATGATGGGGTGCCACCGCATAGCCCATGTTGATCGGTATTCCATGATCCTGAAAGAAATCAAAACAACAGGATACAGAGTGTGGTCAAGTGAATTCAGTTAAAACTGCTCCCCAAATACCATCTTATGTTAGGGTTTGATATGTTGATTCTGTGTCAAGTATGACTTTTTTAAATTAATTAATGTATTTATGCACACAGAACTGGGGTGCAGGCCAGAGGTGCAGGGGCAGTGAGAACATTCATCAGAGACAGAGTAGAGAACAAGACAGGCAGACCGATGAAGTACTTTGTTGAGGGGAGCAAAGGACAGATCAGGAGAGGTCTGCTAAGTCAAGTGGATCACCTATGGGGCCTGGGACTGAACTCACAATGAAGCAGCTACAGCTGTTGCAGTGCAGGGCTTTAACCCATTGCACCACCAGGAAGGGCGAAGCCTGACTTGTATTTAGCTGCTCATTGTTGTCTAGCTTTCAGACACAGCCAAAGTCTGTGAGCATGAATCTACAGATCAGACTGGTTTTGATATTGACTTCAGAAAATTTGGGGGTAGAAGGAAAGAAAATAGGATACATATATATATATATATATATATATATGGCTTAAAGCCCTGTACTGCAACAGCTGTAGCTGCTTCATTATGAGTTCAATCCCCGGCCCCGGATGTGTACACACACACACACACACACACACATATCTCAGATAGATAGACAAACAGATAATACAAAGATATATGGATTGGCCCTCCCTGGTGGTACAATGGATTAGGATGAAGCACTGCAAGCTGGCTGCAGCTGCTACAGTGTGAGTTTGATTCCCTGCCCTGGAGGTGATCCACATGGCACACCATACCTCTCCTGACCCACCCACTGTTCCCCTGACTACTTCGTCAGAGGTCCTGTTCTACTCCCCACTCTGTCTCTGGTGAATCCTCTTACCGCCCCTGCACCTCTGGCTTGTACTCTAGGCCTGTGTGAATAAATGAATAAATGTTAAAAAAAAAAGAGAGATAGATGGATAGGTAAATAGATGATAGGTAACTAAAAAAGTGTCACTTGAACAAACTGAGAGATGGGAGAGCACATATGTATGCATATTTATGTACACACATGTTAAAGGCAATAAAAAGGGGAAGTATAAATAATAAAGTGAGGAGCTTCCTTGATAACTAAGTGATTTGGAACTAATGCTATTGGAATAATGCAGGCATCAGAGGTCGCTGAGCATAGAGGGTGATACTATGCTCTGTGTGTTAGGGACAAGTGGCAAGTGAGAAATCAAGGTGAACTAGAAGTGGAGGGTTACTCAAGGCTGTCCATTGGGAAGCAGGTGCAGTGGAATGCAGATTCCAAGGGACTGGGTTACCTAAGAACAAATATGTGGTCAGATTAAAAGTCCAGGATGCATCTCTGCAGAACTCAGTGATGCTTTGGAAACAAAGAGTAAAGGAAAAGTGAAGATTAAGGTTCTCTCCTTTGTTTTGAGCCTAAACAACTCTATTTATGTATAAAATATACACTTTACTTTGAACTGCTTGCTTTGGGTAAACAGTCAACTCTAAAGGGAAATACATAAATTTAAGACAAGAATATAAAAAATGACATTACACAGTTCACGCAGTGAGGTTCGTTGTTCGTTATATAGATCTGCTGTTCTTTTTTTTTAGATTTTGCCCTCTAAATGTTTATCTGCTTTTAAAAGACTCCTTTTAGGACTCAATCTCATCAATTGAGCTTATAAATGACAATATATGGTCATATCTGAAAGTGGACTGAATCAATAAACAGAATACAAAAAAATGTTGACAATTGCCACTTCTATTTTCTATTACATGGTGCATAGCATAGGAATATAATTCAGTCTGGCATAATAAGCAAGCAGCAAGTAGATCACATATCTACAATGCCAAAGTCATAAGCCACACTCAGTTTAGAAGAAAGACCCTAAATTCTTGACAAGCCTCCGTCACTCTTCCTTTCATGGAATGACAGTCATCGTATAGCCAAATTCCTCTCTCACTAAGGCCATGTTTTCCAACATCTATTACAATAAATGACTCTGTAGAAAGACTGAATTATGAAATCAATGCTATAAAATTAGCTGGAATCTTTTGCTAGGCACTGGGGAAAATGCATTTCTTGATGTGTGTCAAAGAAAAATACTTCTTTCAGGAGCTTGCATTTTCATTACAAAGCAAGGTTGAAAAAGTGCAGTAACAAAATTACTTGGAAGATACCAATGGGGGAAGAGATTCCTCTAACTCTGACACATCACTGGAGAACAAGTACTATAAAAGCCCTAGTTCTGTCTGGTGAGTTCCATGTTGCCCAGAAAATCACCACAGAATTTCTTGAGGATGAGAGTCCTCATGAGGTCAAGGGGCTGCTGCCTTATTTGTGAAGTGCAGATGGACTCCCTCAAGAGACAGACTTTAGTGTCCAAATTCCATCTGATGAACAGAATGCATGTGACTGTTGCTTAAAAAAATACTCTGGGGTAGCTCAAAGGGAAAGGATGCAGCATTGCAAGCAAACCACAGGTGCTTCAGTACGAGTTTGATCCCTGCCCCAGAGGTGACTCACATGGCACAGCAGACCTCTCCTGACCTGCCTGCTGCTCCCCTCAGCGGTGTACTTCTTTGATCTGCCTGTTCTGTTCCCCACTCTGTTTCTGGTGAAGCCTCTCATTATCCTGCACTTCTGGCTTGTACCCCAGTTCTGTATGCATAAAAAAATAAACCTTAAAAAATACTTTGGAGTTTACAAGAAGAGGAAAATCTATTATACTCATTATTATTTCAAACAATTCATACAGAGATTTGTAAGGGTTTTTGCTCAAATATGAATACTGGACAAATCATCAGTTTCTGAATCGTAGCCATCTTCACTAAAAACTCTGTTAGTGCAATTTTATTTCCAATTTGGGGGCAAGAATCCTAGATGAGTATGTGAATGTTTAGAAACAAACAGATAACATTGTGAAGAGAACTGAAATACCAAACAATAGTGTTCCTTCAGAAAAAAAAAAAAAGACGTTTAACTTTTGACAGGTAGTAAAATAAATTGTAGAACTTTCATGAAAAAACCAGAAGATAAAAAGCAATTGATTTGGTGAGTAGGAAGGAAGGGGCAGTAAAAGGATTTTATTATATTTATTGATTTCTGGGGGTGCAATGCTATGCTGCTCATAAGGTCATCTTATCACACTGACAACTGCAGCTCAATCAAAATAGTAAATCACACTGGATAATTATGAGTTTATACTTTTTCAACCTAAATGATATCATAAAATGAAAAAGAATTCCCTAGTAACTCTTTTGCTGTTATCAAGGGGCCTTCTGAACTAAAAATCTTCATTCTTTACTGTCCAGAATTTAAAACCTTCTTCACTGAGACTTGGTCAACTGCATATGAGCTAAGTCTATTGATAGAAGACCAGAAAAGTTACAAAATGTGATAGTCTAATGTGAGTACAAGAAGCAGTTAAAACTATAAAAGGAGAAATATGTGACAGAATAAATTAAATAAGGAAATATAAGGGAAGCCAAATATGATTTTTATTTATAAAAGCAATATCTCTCACACAACCCAGGTTTTCTAGGATATTATATTCCAAGATTGTCACCATAAATAATTACAGGAGAGTTACACTTGATCTAATTTTCCTAGTTACATTAAATTCCCATTTGATTGGGAAATGACATCAGATGATAATTAACCTGCTATACTACAGTCACCATTTCCCAAAATCTGCAATAATGTAAACAGTGTCTAGCATTAAAGTGCTAATAGTAATTGGTTTGATTTCATTGAGTGTTTCTTTGATCATTCCTGTTGGGCGTATCTACTCGCAATTTTTTAGTACCTGATATTTATTATCTTCATGATCATGAACTGCGTCATTATCCCATGTCACAGCTTGGATGTTATTGTCAAATGTGGAATTGAGCCTCAGAGAAGACAGATGACTTGCCAATGGCCACCAGTGGCAGATCTAGAGTCATGCTCAATTCTTCACATTCACAGATTTTGCTTTGACTACTCCCTCTCTGCTAATGACTAGAAACACTTTATGGGCAATAGGAAGCTGATTTTAATGTATATGTCTTAAATGAACTCCTATTTACTCTATTTTTACTTGAGAAGGCTATGCCTGAAAATTTTACATTTCTCAGTCTCCTCTGCAGCTATCATTTCTGATGCAAATAAGGTCCTGTCATTAAGAAATACTCAGAATAGATGAGCACATGCTCAAATCTTGCAGCTCTGGGTCCTTGTTGTGGACATATAAGATCTTGAGAAAGGAGACTTTTCTGAAGAAGTACTTGGGGCCCATTTTCAGGGAAGCACAAGAAGCTTATTGCTCTGCCAGAGTTGCAGTGGGCAACTCAGTAGAGGTTGTTCCCTTAGGGAACTAAGTTTGTCTGAGTCCCTAGTCGGGTGGGGATATAGCTTAGAATTTGCTCTATCAGCCCGTCCAAAGTTTGGGAAAGCCTTAAATTGCTGAATAAAAACCCTCCTTGTTTAAAATAACTCAAAGTGTCTTCTGTTTCTAGCATGGAAACTTGACTGATATCCATGTTCCTTTTCACTCCTAACAAATATAAAAAGTTTTAAAAAATTCAGTTGAAAGTTTGAATTCCAGGAAAAGACAAATAGAAGAAGAGTTTGCTAAAACCAGCCATATATATGGATATATATAAATTTATTTATATTTCACCTTTAAAAGCCAGAGCATAACAAATTTCACTTTCTGGAAAGCCATCTTATTAGAAATATACGAAATGCACTTAATACAAGGAAATCAGTTCCTGGTACCACCAGTGAGCCCTGCACACTTGTATCATTAATAATAAAGAAATCATGGATTTTTAAGAAATTCATATAAAGGGAAATAAATGAAATAATCTGCATAAATGAGTGGACTAAACAGTACCCTACTGAACTTAAAATACTGATTTACCCTTGTAAATCCACAACTTCTAGGGAGTGACAGTGGTGCAAAAGAAAATAGATCTCATTATCTATTTTTGCTTTTTATTAGGAACTTG